AAAATTTAGAAAATTCTTATACAAATTACTCTAATTGGGGACCTTCATATCAGAATTCCAAAGAAATATATTTTTTTTTGTAAAGTCATTGTTCTACATGTACGATTTGCTAACAACTCAATATTTCAATCTCAATACAATTTGAACCGGAATAGGATTGTCCATATTTTTAGCAGTTATAGGAACTGAACAGACAGCAAAAAGTGCTTTCATTTTCGGAGTGCTATAAGTGGTAACTGGAATGAAGAAATAGAACAAAACCCACTGTGACAAGATCCCTTCCAAACAGATGATCTGTCCGTTCCTTCCGCAGTCCTTTTTACCTTGCAATGACATTGTGTGCGCATTTTTATTTTATTGTTTGCTGAGGAAACACAAAGGATATTTCGGCTTTCTGTCCTAAGTTACCATGAAACTGTAAAAAAAACTAGCAGAAAGTCGGGTTTGACGGAGAGAGGAGAAAGGATCCGTACTTAGAAATCTTGTTAGATTTATTCTTATCTTGACATTCTCTCTATATACTCAAATCATACTTTCAAGAGTGATGAATCACACGGAATAGTTTCCTAGTTAGATCTTTTGTATATAGAGAACCTTAAAATAAAAAGAAAGTCTACTGAGAAAACGCAATAATTTATTTAGATTAAAAGTAATACTAAGCAGTGTTTTTTTTATTACATTGAATATTCTTTTCTTTCTTTCTTCGTCTATAACATCAGCATTGGTCCATTTTTTTTATTCTAATTTCATCTAATAATTTTATGTTAATACAGTCAATAAAACATTCATTTCAATAAAGACACTATTTCATGATTCTTATCCTTCTTGTCACTTGTTCACTTCCATATAATAATTATTTAACTATAATTAATAATTTAAAATAGAAAAAGAAATTGTAAAAAGACAATAATCAGATTCAGAATAGGAAATGCCGTTATGTTAGAGTCATTTTTTTTTATAAAGCCCTATGATGAGTTATCGATCTTAGTGTTTAGAGTAATTAGGAATGATCATGCGATGACATGACTTACAGTGAAACTGGTAAGTGCGTAGTAAACTCACAATGAAGATCAGTCAGAGTTAGGCATATCAGATAAAAAAATAAGATAGAATAGAAAATTTGTCAGCATATTTTAAGTGTGAAAATAGTGTTTAGAGCCTGTGAAATCTGTTTTATGGTTATATGAAATACCTATAAAAAATGAAAATTTCTTATCAACTATGACGTGCTTTGAAAATATTTTTAAGTGGAAATACTTTCCTGAAAAAGGGATCACTCAAATTAGTCATCACAACTTAACTTGCTAAGTTTTGAGATTGTCTTAACCTTATTGATGTAAAAAATCTGAGAAGTTTTGATTAGTTTCTCTAATTATTTTTCAGCGTCATGAAATCGACGATCTTCGTTCTCACTTATTTCAACATAAGAATTCGAAATCATCACGTAAGTTTTTATTCTCTGTCAATTTTTTTTTTCTATTTCTTATCATATTAGGAACAACACACCGAAACAATTATTGACCATAGTTCTTAATTTGTGGTGTTTTTTTTTCTCCTGTTTACTTTATATAATATCCATTTGCTAAATATGTAATTTGTTCTGTTTTTTTTTCATTTCATTTATGATGCTTGTGTATGTGTGCATAACAATTTCTTTGTTTTTTTTTCCATACTTCATCAAACTTAGCTGTGGTCATCATATATACACATTTTGGTGGAATTAAGTGTAGTTTTTACCTCTTTCGTGTATTTTTGTTTTGAACATCAAAATGCAAAACTTGAATATACTTTGACAGAAAAAAAAACTAAATGAGAAAATGAATTTTTTCTTATGAATCAGTTTATTCTAGATTATGTCGGTATCCGAAGAAGAATTTCAGCGTTTTCAAAATCAATTGCTTGATCTTAAAACGCGAAATTATCAATTGGAAGAACAAAATAGAAGACTAACTACAGGTATATTAAATAATACATGAAAAATCATTTATAGAAATCCTATGGATTCTCGACTATGTACAAATTTTTATTAGACTGAATATCTATCGAAAGTATTTCTTCCTAAAATAATAACATAGATTAAATTGAATAGAGATTTTTTTTTATTTTATAGATAATATATTTGAATTTTGAAGTGATGAAATACGAGTAGTTATTAGATTGTAAATATGAGTTCAAATGAACTATGAATATCCTCAAAAGAGTTCGTATGATTAGCTTATAGTTGAACAAATAATGTACTTTTTAAAATGAATGTCGTGGTAAGAGTAACAAGAATAGGTTTTTCTATGAATGTTTCAAATTCTGGTGCTATTCATATCCTAAGATACAACTATGGTAATAGTGTGTCTTCCACGCACATCTCAAAAGATCTAAAACTTTTATAATAAGCTTCTCTTGCTAAAGCCTGTCTATATGCAAAATTTCAAGTCAAACTTTGACAATGAGTTTTGCTGACGAGGGTTCATAGCATCCATTTGAAAGTGCAGTATCTTTTGAACGTATTCATAGCTAATTGGGTTCTACACAATCTAGACTCGAAAGTAATTTATCAGTTACAGGACTTCCTTCGTTAGGTTCAAAGAATTCATCAATCGATTGAATTTTCATTAGGTCTCCTTTTTTCATACTGAATACTTTTTAAAATAAGTTTTTAGTAGAATTGCAAAAACTAAATTTTTATTATAAATATGATAAATAGACTTATTATTATGTTAAAGGCAACAGATTCATAGATAGTATTCGTACATAGATCATAACAATATTATAAGAAACAAAAAAATAGAGTTAACTAAGTTACTTCTCATTTACGAACAAAGAAAAATTGTTTTTGAATTTTTAATTGATTGTAAAGTTGACGAATATAGAATTGTTAAATGATAGGATTTTCAAAAATTTGAATCAATGAGAATGCATATAGCAAGATAATTTTTTTTTTTTGCAAAAAAGTTAAACTGTGCTTCGTAGACAACATTAATTATCATTTAGAATAAGTTATTTGAATTAAATCAAGTTACTAGGAATCGTAAAGATCATGAGTTTTTGTTTTAACCCAGATCTAAGAAAATCGCCGTCATTATATTGCCGTTTTTCGTAATCTCGTGCTACGGTTCAAATAAGAGGAAAAACGATGATTTTTTGCTAGAGATAGAAAGAATTGATGGACTATGGCAAAAATTAATACTGTAATATGCTGCTGCTAAAAGTCGAAATGATCGTCTGGAAAGAAAAAAATATCCTAATTTGTAGAGGATATGGGTTTTTAATCTAAAGTGAATTGTGATAATTTGCAGACAGTTATACTTGATGTCAAGGAAAGAGTCTAGTAATTCTTTTCTTGTTTATAGTTATTATCAAGTGTTATATGAGATAACATCATAAATGTTTACAAACTGATCTTTAAAGTAACCGAAGTACTCTATTATTGTCTTTTACACTTAGTGTTAGTTTTCTGAAACAGAATAAATATATTGAGTAAATGAATTGATTATTTTTTTTATTATTAATAAAGATAATTTTTATAATGTACGAATCAGGGTCATCAATTTGAACAAAATTAAGATAAATTTTAATCAAAATCAAAGGAAGATTTCACAAAAATTTTGTCATAATTTATCGTACAAATTGAATACATCATCAATTATCACAATAGTCTTTAGCGTACTGTATATATTTCAGTTAGTTAACTGTGACACTGAATATGTAAGTTTTTTTTAAAAATTTATACGAGTAAAATTTCAAATTTCATATTCTTATTTTTAAATTAATCAAATACCAAACATCATCGAATTTTAGTTCAACAGTATTTGTAGATCGATTTATGTTCTCAAATGAGAAATTACAATTTTTTCTAATATATGAGAGAGCATTCGAGAATTTCACGAAGTCATTGGCATATAAAAAAAAAACTTATTCTCACAAATATCTTTATTCAAACAATATGATAAGCAAAATATAGAACCTATCGCACTGATAATCTTGACACAAAATATTCATTAATTTTTCATCTACTTAAAGACAACTTATTGTATTGAGTACCAGTGATTTAAAATAGAACAACCATCATTAGATTGTTTCAAAAAGACAAAAATTGTCGTTATAAAGAATTATTGTTTTGGTCCATTTTGTATTTTAATTGAAGCCTTTCAAATTCAAAATGTAAAACAGTTTTGAATGAACCATTTGTAGAAATGTGGATTGTAAACTGTTTTCGTACTCTTTACCTCGACTAAGAAAAAACAATTTCTAATCATTACCCTTCAGAGTAGGGTATAGTGATTCTGTACATTTCTATTTTGTAGAGCTAACTTTACTCTACAAAACGTGCTATTTAATTTTGTAATGCAGATTTAAAAATTTTTTTAATTTTAAAAGCATTTTTTCGACCAATTCTGAATCCTACAGAAATTAGCTCTTCAATAGAAACACATAGATGAGACTTCACATATTGTAATTCTAATTCTTAGTAGTTGTCTTTTAGTGACCAAAAACAATGAGTATATATATGTTGTGTCAAAACTTTTGTACTAAAGATCTATCATTGGATTTCTGAATATTGATTTTCATTGTACATGAATTTCTATAGACATTCTTGTTAAATATTTATTTTGTAAAAACATTATAACTAATCATAAATATCTTTTTTTTTTTTTTTCGTTTTGTCATATTAGAAAATGTTCACTTAAAAACTCAAATTGAAAATTTTGAAAAAGATAGTATTAATTTACGATTACCAACAAAAGTGGTATGTTATTCTTTACAAATAAACAAAAAAAAATGAATCATTGTTTAAAAAATATACATATATATCGATATTTTAGTTACCATGGAAAATTCGTCGTGTTACTGGACGAGATATTGATGAAGTTCAACGTGAAAATGATGTACTTACACGTAAAGTTCATACTCAAGAAGAAGAATTTAAACTACAAAATGAAACAATGATGCGTGAATTAAACGAAGTAAATAAAAAAATAATTTGTTCTTTTTCTTATAAACAAAATTTATAATAATGATGAAGATTTTCTAATTGATAATGTTGATAATTCTAGTCGAAGATAGTAATGATAATAATACATATAGAGAAACAATATAATTAATAGAATAAGAATAATTATTAAAAAAATACATATTAATTTTAATAATTTTGAATTTATTGTTGAATGAGTTAATAATGTTAAAATTTGACGATAATTTTCTTCAATTAATAAATAATGATTATTATAAGGCATTGAATTTGTTGTTGAAATCAAACTTTTATTTTGTTCAATATTGTCAAGTTGAGCTGTTTTTATTGTTGTTGTTGTTAATTTTTCTTTATTAACAGATAAATTAGTATTAAAATCAGGTATATTACTAATTGTAACTGTTTGAAAAGTATGCTTTTCATGAAGATTTGTATCAGTAGGTAATGTTCTAAATAAAAGAAAAAAATAATTTTTGGAAATATTTGTTTAATATTGTAAAACAAACTTATTTAAATGAAAATCACATTTAGCATATTGAATAAAAAGTGTTTTCGATTGAATTGAATTACAATGATTATTCATAAATGTTTTCCATAAATATGTATCCTTAATAAAAAATTGACATTGATTTAATTGATTTAAATTTTTTATTTGAATATTTATTTCAACTTGTTTATTTAATAATAAATCAATTGATTCAAATGGAATATAAAATGCATCAATTAAAATTAAACGATTTGTATAATTTTTTGATTCTATTGTTGAATTTTTTATTTCAATTTGATTATTCAATTCTATTTTTATATCAATATTATTTCTATTAATTAACCATAAAAATGTATTATATTGATATAGATCAATTATAATCCATATTAAACGTGATTGTAAACGACATAAAAATGTAAAATCAATTTCTAATGGTAAAATTTCCATTGTTGATGATCGATGTGGACATTCATATGATATTAATGGTTGTTCATTTAATGGTGGATCTAATATTTTTGTATGATTTTGTGGACAATGAAAATACCATTGTGTAGGATGATTAATAATACCAAAATAAAATGATTGATTTGCATGAATTAAAAGAAGAATATTAAAAAAATTAATAAATAATAAAAAATTTAATTTCATTGAAGAAAATTATTTGTCTTTGTTCGGTTGTCTGATTGATATTTGTTATGACTAAATATATAAAACATTTTCTACTTATTGTTAAAAACTTTTATTTTAATTTTCTAAAAAGAAAAATTACAATTCCATATCATCTAATTGTTTTCTCAAGGACAGACTTCATTAATTTTGACTAACATATAGCATAATAAGAAGTATGCACTGTTCTTTACAAATATTATTCGAATGACAGACAAAGGATATATAATGTTTGATAATTGATTAATATATATATGGCTAAGTTAATTAATAATATCTGAGAAAAAAAAATACCAAGGTTATGGATTTATTAATATTTTATTAACAATATACGTTAGAGATACAAACAATAAATAACATATTTTATTTTTTACGTGATATTAAAGTTTTTCTTTTATGTTGGATATTGATAAAGAAAAACTCAAGATAGATTCAATATATATATATATATATATGCTATTGTTGATCATATATATATTAAAAAGACTTGTTTTGCAAATAAATAACAAAACTTTGAAATAAAAACTTACGTATATAACTGTTTTTTGATCTGACAATAATTTATATTAATACTAACAGATGAATAGATAATCTTCATGACACTTTATAATAAATGAAATGGTAAGGTTTCGATTTTTTTCTCAATAGAACGATATAAAAAAAAAGAAAGAAGTTTCAAGGAAAAAAAAATATATAATAATGTACAACAGAAGATTAAATTTTTCTCGAGCAATAGAAAAAAAAAAATGACTAAAAACCAGTAATCAGCTTATGAACAAAATCAATTTATATAAATAGAATAATACTTACTTAGGTGAAACCTTTAGGTAGAAAAAAAGAAAGAAAAACTAGACTTTTCTTCTAATAAGAAATATAATCATTTCACTTACGTCAATAAGTTTTCTATTTCTTTTATCAAATGAGATGTTATTCTTATTACTCGAAGGCAAATAATTTTCTTATTTATATATTCACATAAGCAGAGAGAGAGAGAGAGAGAAAGAAATTTCCTAAAATAAATTAGCACATTTAGCACATGTTACTTTATTTATATTGTTTAATTTTTTTTTTCTATTTTATTTTAGTATACAATGAAAGTTGAACAACTTGAAAATGAACTTAAATTATATAAAGAAGGTCGTCATACAAATCAAAGCAATTCTCATGATAATCCAGATATGATTAATTTAATTCAAGAAGAAAATCGACGTTTAAAAGCAGAAAATAATGTTTTACAAAAAAAACTTTCCGGTAGATAAAATATTTTATATTTATAGAAACAAGATATTAAATTTATTATTTTTTTCAAGAGTTATCAACGAAAACTGTCGAATCAATATCAACAGCAAGTTCAAGTAATGAATCATTTCAAAAAGAAGATGTGGAAGTAGAATGTGATGATAATCGGTGTGTATCTTGTTACTCTTTATCAATTGAGACTATGAGTATTATATAAATCATGATCAACTATACATCAGGGCAAAAGTTCGATTTTCTTGCTTCTTTGCTTTTTATATTCACATGTTTTATATCAAGGTTTTTACTAAAAGACATATTATATATAATTGTTATTTCTTTCGATCAAACATTATACATTTTTGTTTATATTCTATATTAATATTATATCAGAAATAATTGAAAGAATTTCTATGTCCAGACTTATTTTGTTTCTCTAACGAGAAAATCTCATTAGAATTTCCTTGATGCTTGTTTCGATAATTGTACTAGTTTTCTATTGTAACATAGTATATTAAAAAACAATATTTAGATTAATTTCTTTGGATCAGACAATATCATGACAGCTATGTTTAGAGAGTTTCCTAGCTTCGAGACTGAAATTAACAAGAAGTTCGAAGAAATAATGTAGAATAATAGATACAATGTCAGTTGTAATAGCAATTTCTATCAAACTGTCTAACAGTAGTTTTTGTTTAAAGAGTGTCTTGCATTTTTCATAGAGTTAAAAAGAAGAAGAAAAGAAACAAAGGATTTCATGCTGTGGTAAAACTCAATTTAAATATGTCATGAAAATTAATTGTCTAATTCCATATTAAAATTCAGTACAAATATCAGTCATAATGAGAAGACTCTATTGTGTATGTACTTAGGTCAATCCAAGAGTTCTGTCGAAGATACGTTATTTTCGAATAGTAAGATCAAAAAAGTTTTTGTTCTTTATGCAATGATAGAGAAAACGATACTCAATTTTTCTATGCTATTTGATCAATCATCAACTATTATCATAATAGTAAAATATTGCTAAAAACTGTTTTTGTATGAAACTTGAGCTTGTTTAAAAAATAATGATCGTCAGTATTTTTGCAATAACTCAAGAATGGAAAGAGCTAGAGAGCTGCAGTTTTCATTGTTTGAAAGAGAAAAAGAAGATGTACCGAATTGTGTATTACAAGTTTTTCTAGTATGCTGTCTGAAGTTTGCTTGATCAATTCTTTAAATGCTGAAAAATTTTTTTTAAACCTGAAAGAAACAGCAAAAAGATTCTTTTTTTTTACAGAAATTGCTACAACAATCACTTAAAGCTTTAACTAGAATATCTATAACTCCTGAATGATTCTTCCATTGACGGTTTGAATAACATACTCGACAATTGAAAATTCGTTGTAAACAACTCATGGGTTAGATTTGTTTTTAAAGAAGTCGAATGAACATCTTATAAAATTAGGTCGAACAAACCGACAACATGGAGTCCGATGCATTTTCTTCTTCACTTTCAAACAATGAAAACTGCAGCTCTCTAGCTCTTTCCATTCTTGAGTTATTGCAAAAATGTTGACGATCATTATTTTTTTAAACAAGCTCAAGTTTCATACAAAAACAGTTCTTAGCAAAATTTTACTATTATGATAATAGTTGAAGATTGATCAAATAGCATAGAAAAAATTGAGTATCGTGTTCTCTATCATTGCATAAAAAACGAAAACTTTTTTGATCTTACTATTCGGAAATAAGATATCTTTGACAGAACTCTTGAATTGACCTAAGTATTTTAGATTTGAGATGTACTTATATTATAATTCTATCATTGGATCAGAATACCGAGAACGTACGAAACTATTTTCATTTATATAATAAAATTTGATATCTTCAGAGAAAATAAATCAGAAGAATGAACTTATTATTCATATCATGATACACATAATCCTAAGAATTTCGAACATTGCTTGATTCAATTGTGTTTTTGTTTTATTATATTATAATTATTTAATCAGTAGTGAAGGTGGTCTTGTTCATGTTGTCTCAACGAAATCAACCAATGGTGAAACAAAATTATTTGATTGTAAACTTTCTTTTTCGTTTATCTTTAAATATGACTAATAATTCTTGTTCTATTTAATCTAGCTAATAGTATTCGTCTTGAAACTGAACAAGAAGAGAAACGTCTTCTTCAAGAACAATTTCGTCAATTAGAAATATCATTTAAGGAAACAAATACAAAACTTATGAAACAAATTGAAAATGTAAAAAAAAACAAAGAAAAAAAGAATAATATTTAATGTTTAATAACAAAAAAAAAAGAAACAATAATATTTATTTATTTATAGTTAAAAGAAAAACTCGATGAAAAACAAAATACATGTTTACAATTACAACATGATTATGAAAAACGTATTCAAGATACTATGTAATGAAAGAAAAGCATATAACAATGTTTTTTTTTTTTTATTGTTCTTTTGTTTTTATTATTCTAGTACGGATAATAGTAATATAAAAACAACAAATGAATTACAAATTGATGTACTTAAATCAGAAATAAAACGACTTCAAGATGAAATTCAAACAATAACAAAAGTCCTTTTGTCTGAGAAAAGTTTTTTTTTTAATTGAAATAATTATTCTTTTAGACAAAAGATGATGAAATAAGTAATTATAAAAAACGTGTTCATGAACTACAAATAACTATTGATCAATTAGAATCACAGGTTTGTTATAATAACAAAAAAACAAATAACGCTAATCTGATATTCTATTTGCTTGCTTATAACGCTTTTATTAAAGATTGGCACAGTAGCTGCTGAACAAAATCAACAATTACGCACTACTAATGCTGAATATCAACGAGTTCTTGCAGATAAAGAATTGTTGCTTAATCAAACGATTATTGATCGTGATTTGTTACAGACAGAAACTGAGGTGTGAAGAAGTTTGTTAGAAAAAAAAATTAATTTCATTGATTAAAAAATTTGATAAATAATATGCTTGATGTTTTTTGTTTAGCAATCAAAAGAAGCCTATGAAACACTGTTACAAACAGTTCAAATACTTGAAGAACAAGTAACAAATACAACACGCGATTTTGAATCTCATCAACGCGTATGTTTATTTTTTTTATGAAATATAAAGGAAAAAAAATCAGACTTTGTTTACTATAGTTAGCTGAACAGCGTAAAACTATCATTGATGAAATGGCTGCAAATAGTTTACAAGCTGAAGAAAAAGCTAAATTAACTTTACAAAATCAAAAAGAGAAATATCAAGCAGAAATTGAACGACTTGAAAAAGAAAATAATGAATTCAAGGTAGAAAATTAATACTTTTTTAATAAGTTATAGAAAACGCTTCCGAGACTATTAATAATAATCAATACGTAAAAAGAATAAATATGCATGTTGTCTGAATATTTTCAATAGAGATTTAAACTAACATTGATTTGTAAATATAGACTTAAAATTTTTAAATAAATTCTTTTGACATTCTCACGATATTTTGTTTTACTTGGTTAATAATCGATCGATAAACAAAAAGAAAACATATTAATACTACTTGAAAAAGAAAACACGATGAAGGACGATTGATTTTAAAATAGAAAATATTAAATATATTATAAATATCATTTAGATCAAAGATCGAACATTGAAACAATATCAATCACGTTTTATAGAATTAGAAAATCATATTAAATCCGATGAAGAACATAAACAAGTTTTAACAAGTCGTTTAGAAAAATTACAAGTATGTTTACA